CTCAAGGCATATGGCGGGCCATATTGCAAGTTTCTACGTAAAGTGCGGGCCACACTCAGCATCTTAGTAAGGCGATGATGAAAACGACCATGGGAGACAGCCCAAGTACACAGCAAAAAATTAATTTTAATATCACATCAAAGTGAATGCACTTCAATCGTGTCGAAAATATGGTGTAATATTACTTGCCAAAAAGGACAAAATTATCATTAATACAGTGCATGAACTCACTTTACACTGCTTTTCCTGCATTTGTTCATAATTGTGGCCATAAAAATTACATGAGATTTTCGACACGATTGTAGTGCATCCTCTTGGACGTAATATTAAAATTTATTTTTTGCTGTGTACCCAAAAGTTCTGCATTCAACGATAAAACTCAGTTTCAAGTTCCATAAAGTTAAAACAAAGTTCTGACAGAACCTTCAAGTTCCATAAGGTTCGAATAAAGTTCTGACAGAACTTTCAAGTTCCATAAAATTCCAATGCGTACTCCTAGCAACTTGATGTTCAAAAAAAGTTCCAAAAAGCATCCCTAAGAACTTCTTGGGAACTTCAGGCAACGCTGAAAACATGTCCACAACAAAGTTCCGAACAAGCTCCCAGCGGAACTTCTTAGCAACTTTAAAGTATCAAACAAGTTCCCCGCGGAGCTTTTAAGCAACTCGAAAGTTTCTTAAAAGGTCCGTCATAGCCCACATGAAGCAATTTGCACAAGTCTTTATTAGTATTCTACCCAAACATAAACAAATTAAAGAGGAATTTTCTAGATTCAAACCTATGCATTTGGCATGCAATCTACGAACGCCCCAAGTAACAATACAAGCTGAACATTAAGAACAGAAGCTGATTATTGGTTGATTTAAGGTGTACAAAGCTGATTAATATCAGGCTGAATATATATTTGATTAGTAGTGCAATTGTATCAACATAATACAACCTCAATTGGTTAGCTGATCCAAAGATTGAACAAGCCTTATCTAAGCTTAACACAACTCCACCAATCAGCAATGCGTTACACATATTTTGATACCTTGATTTGTTAAATGTCGTAGGTTTCTGTGTCACTCGTTGCATGTCTGGCATTTTAGTTCTACTAAATTCACTACCTACTTTCTTAATTACAGACAGTGGCAGCAGTAGAGACAAGGAAAAGGAGATTTTTAGGAATAGCTCAAGGTAAAAGTGGTCTGCGAGGACGTCGGAAGTATTAACATTTGTACTTCTGTGTTTTAACTGTTCACCACTTTATATTGCACTGAATTTTCAGACCGCTCAATTATGGCACTAAAATAGCATCCAAATGACTGTCAAAATAAATCGCATGCTTGTGTCCACATTGTGTTAAGTGCACTTGAAAATGAGAGGAATGTTTAACTGTCACCAGTTGATGCTTACAATTCTGCATTGCTGTATAATACTCTTCCGGTTGCTGTTATTCAAATTAAATTTGACGTGCTTCAAGTAAATGATCGTACCTTTTGCCACACACAGACATGGAAAATCATTTGCATTCATTTCGTGCATTCATTTACATTCATTTGCCCCTAACTTTTTCATCAACAGAATTCCACAAAATAATGTATGAAGCTTTTGTAGGTTTTGTTATTAGGTACACCTTTTTTTAACAATTCAAATCCGTATCTTTTATGCATGATGAACCAGAGTGAACAGAAGCCACTACTGTTTTTCAATGAATGTATTTTACATTCACTGAAAAACAGTAACAAGTTCTGCCTGCTCTAATTCATGATCCATAACAGATATGGATTATGAGCAAAAGTAGAAGCTAATAACAAAACCAACTAAAGCTCTATACATCATTTTGCGGTATACTGTTGATGAAAAAAGTTAGAGGCAAATAAATGTAAATTAATGCATGAAATGAATGTAAATGATTTTCCATGCCTGGCCACACATATGCCTAAATGGTCCAGTAAGTATGGTTGACGCCTATGAATCAGCGACTGCCGGTTCGAATCCCGAAATGCAAAGGTAATTTTTAGACTTATATTAACCATATAAATATGTTAATCCAATTAGTCAGCAACAAGTTAAAGCAGTTCCATATAAATGCATGAGATGTGGAGCGGTCTTTAATTATTATTTTTGAAATAAAACTAGAAGGCTGAGCAAGGGTTGGAATAAACTGTTGTTTAACGGCTTAAAAAGCTTATAATGTATAATACTGTTAAGCTTTTGGCTGATTAAAATCACCAGATTTAGATGTTTAAAAGCTGGAAAAAGGTTAACGTGGTCTATGTACAATTGAAATCGATTAATCAACACTTGTTAAGCATCAAATTGTTACCTGGGGCTAATCACTGCGCCACAAGTGTGTTGGAATACCATGCGGGCAAACACTAATTTAAAATCCATCAAGTTGTTGTGTTTCGTTTTCAAGTCAGTAATCTGGCACTGAAAACTCCAACAGTAGACGGGACAACAGTTCACATTAATATATTTCAGATGAGGTAGCGGTTTGTGCTGGGGCTTTCACGCAGAAGGACTGGGTTTAACTCGTCAAAGAGCTCAATACTTATACTAATGCTGATAAATCAATACACGTTCAAACCTGCCTTTAGACATAACTTTCATAAAGTACGAACTAAATATAAAATTGGTGTAACTTATTTTCTTAAAGTTCCGTTCAAGTTCAACCAGAAGCTGCTTAGAATGCTCTTCAATTATGGTACCGGAACTTTCAAGTTCTTACAACGACTTAAAAATGAGGCTGCTTATAATTCTATAGACCACCTTCAACCAAGCTGCTCAAGCCACAAATAGCCTTTTATCAGAACTTATGATTACTTGGGAAGCTTCAGGGGTAATGGCAAGGTTTTTTATTTAGTGACTTTCCTCATAATTCATTGCATCAATAACAAATTTATTTTTTAGACCTTGAAAAAAAAACAGATCACGATTCATTAAAAATATTGTTTCTATAGATTGATACATATTTTATGAGCACAGGCTTCATTTAGGCCTACGAAATTTTCCGATCTACAAAATCATGAAGGCTGCTATGCTGAACGCCATGTTAACACGGTTGAATTTTGGTAAGTGAGAGATTGTAGTGGGACTTTTTTTAGAGACCTTGAGCTCGAAAAAATAATGGAATCTGTCGTGAATTAGAATGTATTTACAGGAAAACAATGAAATGGAATTTCGATGAAAATTGGCATAATCCAAAGGTTATTCCTAAATGAGCTTGTAGGGAACTCTGAAAGGTATTCATAAGGAATTTTGAGGGGACTAGAAAGTAATTCTGAAAAGAAATTGATAGGCTTTGAGAAGTAAGCTTCATGAAAATACTTGGGCAATTTCATAGTGCAATCACATGGCAATTCTGAGGAAATATCCAGGAGAATTTCAGAATTTCTGAAAAGAACTCATATAGAATTCAGAGTATAATTCAAAAAAAAATATTCAAGACTCCTCAACTCCAAATAAGTTCTGACAAGAGTATCAAAGCTATTGACAAGAAGACTTTTTAGGAGCTCTGTCATTAATTTCAAAAGAATGGTGAAGAGAATTCTAAGGGAATCTGTATATAAAGTTGATTAAAGTCCAATGGAATCTTAAGGAAAATTTAATATTTTAGACAGCGTCACGAAGAGGTTATTTAGCAGTAGTTTTGAGTTAAATTTCAAGGAAGTTCAAACTCACAACATCTGAGGATGGTGCCATGCGAGGATTGAAGAGAATTAAATAGAATTAAAAAAAAATGTAGAACGGAGTTTTGGGACTATTCCAACGGAGGCAAATAATCACGACATTTTATGGAAAATTCGAGAGGAATTAAAAAAAATTAGATAGAATTCTGAAAATAGCTCAGAGGATGAAGAAAAAAGAAGTTTCAAAAAGAGTTCCAGACGAACTCTGATATGAAATTCAAGGAAATTTTTATTTGATAAACCAAACAGACCAAAAGCATTCTGCGGGCCGCACAAATTCACTCGGCGGGACCACTGGTTTAATTTATCGATCCAATCGTTCCATAGCAATTTGGAAATCTTGCGTAGATGTAATCGACCTTTAGCCATATTCAGTCGATATAGAAAGAAAATTCACATCTCATCATGATGACGTTTATTGCTGATTCCAGTCATTTTCAATTAGCATGAATGTTTTGAATTATTTATAATCCCTACCGCCAGGCGTTCACCCAATCTAATCATGACCGACGTCGCAAAAAAAAAACTAATCAACCTCCTGCATCACACTACCAGCATTTATTTATATTCTGCTCAGTCCTTCGATATGCAATTCCGGTGAAACCAAATCACAACGAAAGTCACGCCACGAATCGCCACCGGTCGGTGCTGTGCATATCACAACCGGAATAAAATATTCAAATCCATCGCATCGAAAACAAAAAAGCCCCAAACTGCATCGAATGATGAGCCTTTGAGCTATCCACCACCGGCACCGAACTCGGGGGCTTGGGAGAGTCATAGAAAAGCGATTTATATGCTAAACAGACGACTGGAGTCGTCGTCGTCGTCATGCGGAATTACTGATAGCTCTCACTTTCTTTCGAACTAAGGAGTCGATCTTTTTTTTTCCTTTCTTTGACGGCAACAGATTTCACTTTAAGCCCGTGATGAGTGTTTGCACAGGCGGTAAAACCCTAATGCATTCACACTTTGTGCGCCCACAGATGTTCCCAGTTTGCCGAAGGGTCGGGAAAGTGTTTATTCACAGGAAAAAATAGACGTTAGTCCACTTGTCTCCACAGATCCACGCAACACAAAAAAGGCAGGTCGTTAAATAGCGATAAATTTCACTCGACGTTCACTGACAGCAAGTTCCTCTTCAACGACCGACGACCATCTCAATCGAATCGCAATTCGTTCGGTAAAGTTCTTATCGCAGAAACACCGAGGCACAAGCATTTCCCCGCCTTCGCAGACTAACAAACCATTTACCGGAAATAAGCAAACAATCCAGATACATTTCCCGTTCCCAAACAAGCGCGGAGCCCTTTTTTCACTTACCATTTTCGATTTGCAAAATTTATCCACGCGACGTGTGTCTCCTTTTCCCGGATCCTTCCGGCGATAGAACGGCTCGTCGGCGACAAGGGCTCAAATAATCCTCAAACACCGCACAATCCGACCGGTTCTGATTCTGCACGGCGGAATGTAGGCTTTCACTTCACTCGGGCGCTTCTTTTCCCGGGTAGAATTTTCGCTTGTTCAAAAACCACTATTTTGCACGTTTTTCCTGGAGCTCTGAATCGTTAAAACACTCTCGCACAATTCCGGGCGAACCCTTTCTTCCTTGGTCCACCTTTTTTTCACGTTTGAAATCTTTCGTTCGTAGCTATTTTTGGGACGGCCAAAACAACAACAGGTAATCGTTTTAAATTCCACCGATCCTTCCTATTTTTTCCGATTTGTTATTCCAATCACGCACGATTCCACTTTAGATCCTTGCGTCTTCGTTCCCTTTTCGCTGTTTTTTTTTTCTTTTGCTGGCAGCGAATTTCCGATTCGAGCCCTTTCTAGACCGGCTTTCACTGAAAGGCGTCCGGAGCGAAGCCGTTTCAGAAAAGAGGAAAAAGGAAAACAAACCAAACTGATACTAAAAGCGAATGGGGTTTCCGAAAACCACCTGACGAGTCCGACGTTAATATGCTAAATGCCATCAAAATTTAACCCGCGCAACGCTATTATACAGATCAAGTTTGGATCTTTTTTTCCCCGATCCGAAGAAGCAGATGAAGAGAGGATCCCACTCCGGTGGCAAGCGGAATCGCTAGGAAAGGTTCGTCGCTTGTTCACTGCCAAGGTAGGTGACTTGGGCAGACGAGAGTGAGAGTGAAATGAGCAGCAACAGTAACAGCAGAACGTGACCAGCATCCGCGTGCTGTTGGTTGCCGTGAGCCGATGACGCCGCCATGGTGTTCATTCGGTTGCGCAGAGAGTAAGACCAAAGAGCGGAGACTTGGCGGGTGGTGAATAAGCGACGAACTCACCACCAAGCCGAGTTCAGCGGAACACGTTGCCGCGGTGTGAAAGGTGATGCAAAAGGGGGACAGATGAAATGACCTGAGTGAGAGAGCAAGCGGTGCATGAAAGTGTGCTTAATTAGGATTAAATTAACTCGAGAACATAAACTACGGCTGAAACCGCGGTGATGGCAAGTTATGCAATGGTACAAAATGGCTTGGAACGCATCCGGGTTGGGCGATGTTCTTTGAACTGGTTAAGAGGTATATTGCATATGCAAAAAGCCTGACTGACGAAAAACAGTTAAACTGCCATAAGTTCAACATGCTTAGAATAGTGTTTAACTACATATAATTTACTGACAGGAAGTTAATTTTGTTGATGTTAAATGAGAAAAGATAGCCTAGATGCATGTGGATTGTGGTAGGGAGAAACAGCAAGCCGGGTAAAAGGCTGTTGCCAATTTATTCCTCCGTTGGCTTTTATGGATGGGACAAGCTAGTTTTGGTATTTTCACGGTATTTTTGGAACAACTTATGTAAATTTTAGTGAACAGTGTAGAATTCCGGTAGTTTACAATCGATTCTAATAGATAACTCATTTCTGACAAAATTCCATATGCTTTTATGGGCAGTTTATTGATGTAAGAATCTGCTGGAGGTAGAAACCTAGCAAGCGGCGAATAATCAAAGCAACCTACAAATAAATGTATTCTCATAGTCTGAAATAGAATGCCATTCCAAGTTTGTCTCTCATCAAGCTAAGACGTATTTTCAAGTAGTAGTAAATCCGGTCTACGGCAATATCACATTCAAGAGGTTATGGGCCCGAAGAAGTTCAAAATGGAAAGATTCGGAAAAACGAAGCTGACGAACGAAAACTACGAAACCTGGAAGCTGGAGGTGGAATTCCTGCTGGTTCGCGAAGGACTATGGAAGTACATCGTGGGCTGCTGCTGAGCAGGAGTCAACACGGCCATATCCGGGCTACAAAAACCGCAAAGGAAGTATGGAAGAATCTGGAGAAGCAACATGAAAAGAAGTCACTAACGTCGAAGGTTCACCTGCTGAAGCGGATTTGCGATCTCAAGTTCCAGGAAGGAGACGACATCGAGGACCACCTGGTAGAATTCGAGAGTTTGTTTGAAAAACTGGCCAACGCTGGTACGAAGCTCGACGACGATTTGCAGGTAATCCTGGTGTTCCGCAGTCTACCAAGCTCTTTCGACGCGCTGACGAGTACCCTCGAAAATCGGTCGGAGGACGAGCTGACGCTGGCCCTTGTAAAGGATAAAATTATCAATGAGGTGCAGAAGCGAAAAGGGACTGTTCCGGCGGATTCAGCGGTATTGAAGGTGGCCGGGAAATCGAAATCCATTGTGTGCCACCACTGCCAGAAGGTCGGCCACAAGAAGCGAGACTGCAGAATTTGGCAGAAGCAGAGCCAGGATGAAGTTTCTCGAAGTGAAAAATCGGTTGCCAAGCAAACCAAGAAGTTTGCCAAGCAACAGGCAAATGCAAGAAAAACGGAGTCCACTGGAGAGGATTTCGTTTTCAGCGCTCGTGAAGGACCAGTGACGAAATGGATCATGAATTCTGGAGCCAGCTCCCACATGTGCGCCAATCGAAAGTTTTTCGTATCCGTTGAGAAACCACGAGATGATATCCCAAGTTTCGTTACTGTCGCTAATGGGAAGAAAGCATTCGTGAAAGGTGTGGGGAACTGCCAGATCTATTGCTACGGGAAAGACAGCGAAGCGAAGCAAATCGTGCTCACCGGTGTCCTGTACGTCCCAGATCTGGATATGAACCTCGTTTCCGTCGGGAAACTCAAGCAAGGCGTAGCAACGGTCTCTACCACTTGCAGATGGAGGAACGCGTGGGTGCGGCAATTTAGCATTGCAATAATAAGAACTGTTTGCATGACTGGCACCGTAAGCTCGGTCACCGTGATGTCAAGGCAGTCCAAGAACTGGAGCAACGACAATTGGCGACGGGCATCAATATTAAGCAGTGCGGTTTGGTTTTGCCTTGTGAGACCTGTCTGCAGGGAAAGATGGCACGACTGCCATTTCCAAAGGAAACAACGAAGAAAACGACGGCTGTGATGGACCTGGTACACAGTGACCTGTGTGGACCAATGAGGACGGTGACCCCGGGTGGTCGTCGTTATTTCCTGACGCTTATTGACGACCACAGCCGGTACACAACGCTGTATCTGATGCGAGAAAAATCAAAAACATTTGACGCTATCCAGGACTATGTGCAGAAAATGAAGACGAAGTTTGGCAGACCGCCGAAAGTGCTGAGATCCGACTAGGGAGGCGAATATCGTGGCTCGAAGATCATGACGTTCCTCAAGCGACAATCTACGGCAGCATATTCACCGCAGCAGAATGGAGTCGCAGAAAGAATGAACCGTTCCTTGGTGGAGATGGCCAGGTGTATGGTTTTGGAAGCAGGTATGCACAATCGCTACTGGGGAGAAGCAATAAACACAGCAAGTCATCTGCTAAACATGTTGCCAACGAAAGCGGTTAATCAAACTCAGCATACGTATTTGCTCCTGAAGTCAAACGATCGAAACTCGAATCCAAAGCCGAAAAACTTACTTTTGTCGGCTACTCGTTGCAACACAAAGCGTGGCGTTTCATCAGCATGAAGACGAACAAAGTGACGATTAGCCGGGATGCCCGATTCCTGCCTTCGATGATCGACAAGGGGGAAATTTCCACAGAGGACGAAGGTACGTTATTCTTTCCGTTATCGCTATTTAATAAAAACCGTAGTGAGACGGATACACCGGAGGAGCTGAGACAACCTGAACCAGCAATCGATCGTGAAATCATGGAAGAGGAAGATCTCCACGGTGTTGAAGAACATTCGGATGAAAGCCTGTACGAAGATGTTGATGAAGCAGAAGCACTCGATGGAGGTGAGTCACAGGAGGAGCCGGTACCAATCCACGTAGAGCAAGATGTAGGTACACAGTAACTATCAACCAGGGTGACGAAGGGTATTCCACCTCAACGCTACTGTGCCAACAGTCGGGTTGCACATTACGACAATGACGAGCCACACACCTATCAAGAAGCTGTGACTGGTCTGGAGAAAGACATGTGGAAGCAAGCCATACAGGATGAATTTCAATCGATGTACGAGAACAACGTGTGGGAGTTGACCATGCTGCCGGCTGGTAAGAAAACCATTGGATGTCGCTGGATCTTCAAAAAGAAAACGGACGAAAATGGAAGGGTCATCCGGTACAAGGCGCGGCTTGTCGCTCAAGGGTTTACGCAGAAATATGGAGTCGACTACGACGAAGTTTTTGCTCCCGTGGTGAAGCAAACAACGTACCGGACACTATTCTCCGTCGCCTGCCAGAAGAAACTTCTCATCAAACATGCAGATGTCAAGACAGCGTACTTGAATGGTGAGCTACAAGAACCCGTCTACATGCGGTTGCCTCCTGGATGCACAGCGGATGCAGAAAACGTGGTTTGTTGTCTTCGCAAAGGATTGCACGGGTTGAAGCAAGCCGCTCGTATTTGCTCGTCTCTACGTCATGCAGAACAGAGGTAAAATCGCTTATATTGCTGTATATGTTGACGATTTCATTATAGCATGTGAGACTGAAAACGACTACAAGGCCATCGTTAATGAGCTGAACCAATATTTCACGGTGACGTCGCTCGGGGATATCCAGCACTTCCTTGGTATCCAGGTCTTCCGTTCCGAGAAACACGTTGCACTAAGTCAGAGAGCCTACATCCAGAAGCTTCTGACCAGATTCGGTTTGGAAAACGCGAAGCCATCCGCTATACCATTGGACCCAGGCCACCTACATCCAAAGGAGGAGATCCCGCTGCCCAATAACCATCAGTATGCCAGCTTGATTGGTGGGTTGTTGTACGTGGCCATGTTTACTCGACCTGATGTTGCAGCAGCCGTTTCAATCCTGGGGAGAAAAACTAGTTGCCCATCACAGGCTGATTGGGTGGAGGCGAAGCGTATCCTGAGGTACTTAAAAGGTACTATTGACCACGAGCTAATCCTGGGAGCCGATTCCACGCAATTGGAGGTGTACGTAGATGCCGACTGGGCTGGTGACACCAAAGATCGCAAGTCAACCACAGGCTACCTGATCCGGTATGCAGGTGGTATGATTGGATGGTGTTCCAGGAAACAAGATTGCGTAACATTGAGCAGTTTGGAAGCCGAGTACGTTGCTATAACGGAGAGCTGCAAGGAGTTATGCTGGCTATTACGACTATTCAATGATCTGGGAATCCAACTCGAATCCAACTCCAGCGAGCGACGTTCGAAGCATGTTGACACGAAGTACCACTATGCGCGTCAACTGAAGGAGCAAGGAATCATCAGTCTATAGTACCTTCCAACAAACGAAATGATTGCAGACATGATGACGAAGCCTCTTCAACGTATCAAGCAAACGCGGTTTCGAGATGCAGCCATGATTCTTTCGTCGAGGAGGAGTGTTGGAGGTAGAAACCTAGCAAGCGACGAATAATCGAA